CAGAATTGGTCAATCAAGTCTTATTTTTAAAGAGAAATTGTGATCATTTTAATATTTTTCCATCTCAAGATATCTAATTTTTTTTATCAATTATTTTAAACATATAATTAGCTTTAATAAAAAATTAAATAAAAATTAATTAAAAAAAATTTTTTTTTATTTGTTTATATTGTATATGAAACTAATCACAATTCGGTTTTTCAGTTTTATTACAACTGAATACCCGGTTGAATCAGTTTTATTTAAAATCAGTTTAAATTCGGTTTTTAAATTTAAAAAGTAGTTAAAACCGGTTTGTGAAAATTAAACCGTTTTCAACCTCTAGCACATTCCATAAAATTAATTAAATTTATGATCTGAAATGTCTCAAAAATTAGTAATACAAATAGTGATCAATGAATAAAAATGTTTTATTGACTCACAAAACGTATTCTCTCACCAGTAAGTACCAACATTAGTTAAATCAACCTTTCAATGTCGTTAGAAAAATTCAGAGCCTTGTTAAGTTTTAAAAGAAAGGGTCTGCCGGTATAAGTGCATTATTGTTCACAAGTGAAGATATGAAAGCGTTGAAATTGAACTTCAAACCAGCAGCTGAAAACCAAGTTATACCTGATGTTGAAGGTACGAGCTGTACTGTGTCATTAATCTTATTAGTGAGTCTAATACTTACATTTAAAACATTGTTAATTACTAACTTTCTGAAAGAATATGAAGAATTTGTTCTCCCCAACATTAACAAACATGCGTTAAGATTGCCAGATTTTGATGTTGGAAAGCTTGAAGTTTCCAATCACCTCTGAAGCTTCATTCATTGGTTGCATATTGCAGAAACCTCACAGGAGGTCATAGGTACAAGATATTCTAGCACTGACTCTTTGGTAAACGAACTGTTACAAACTTGGTCTGAATTTTTGGCCTCTGAATATCAAGTAATTATTGCACCCAAATTATTTGTCTATTCCTATTGCGCACTTCAATTTTTAAAGATTTCACTTTATCAAACCTTCTTGTAGTCTATTTTTCGATAAGAGCGATAAATACGAATATCATATACAAGTGTATCCTGTAATTGTGATTGAAAAAAAAGATATTGCTAGATTAGCCATAGAAACTGTATGTAGTATATTTAGAACGTATGAATATCTCATGTTCTTATTGACTCAAACAACTTATTAACAGGACAAACAACTAAAAGACATCAGGCCGATAACTAATTTTGGAGAAACGCAAATTACCGCTGAACTTCTTGTCTGTGCATACATGAATATTGATTCTACCCTATGGATTAGATCATATTTTCATGCGTATAATCTCTACGTACGTTACATTTTATAAGGCTGTAATTCTTAGAGCATATTGAAAGGAGCTTAGTGATGGCCTACCGCAAGAACAGTCAGTTGTAGTTCAACGATGGCCGAGGGAAAATAGTTTAAGGACTGGTCTAGATCTTGCAGAACCAGATGAAAAGTGAGCAATACTAACAGCATTGGTTAAAATTCGTCAACATATTTTGCTAGTAGATTGATGTAATAGCATTACAGGTTAGTTTAGTCATATTTGAGAGCATTTTTAATGTCATCGATTTTTATACTTTGAACAAAATCATCGATTAATTATACTTCCGGTCTAGAAAGGATATTATTTTGCCCTTGCAAATTTTCAAAATGATACCGTAAATAACGATCATGAAATGCAATGTTTTGAGAAGATTCATGCAATATATTTCGATATTCACCCTGACCGAAATAATATCTAAGCTTGTGAAGTATATGAAGTAACTGCCATTTTGAAAGTGTATAGCCGTTTTCTTCAAGCTCTTGTCACAAATTATTTGTTGAAAGTGGCAAGCTGGAACAGTTAGAAGACATAACAGAGGTACGTATAACTTTAAAAATATTGTCATTAAGTTCTTTTTTTTGGTCTTCCATATATTTTTTGCAGTAACTGTTCATCATTTTTATCTTTATTGTACTCAGAAATTACCCACGCAACTGTTGCCTTTCCAATTCCAAGGGCTGTAACAACCTCTTTGCTTAGTGGTAAGTCTTGATGCTTTTTCTTACTCTGTCAGATATCAAAAAAGTATTGATAAACACGAATGACCATCTTTTTTTCATTACTAGTCAGGTAGCTTTGATCTCGTTTTAAGTCATCCATTTGAAAAGAAAGGCGGTTAAATTTGTTTTTATTTTAAAGTTTAGAACTATCTTTACCTTATCTGTAATTTATATAATCATATGTTCAGTTTGTGAAGTTTTGTGTAATATAAGAAAATCAGGTGACGATCTTCATGTATCAATCTTTTTGCATCAGACTATAATAAGAATATATACTAATCTTGTTTAATTATACAAAGTCTTTAATTAATTCATTCATATCATAATCATCATCATCATCTTTATCATCATCTGTTTCAATATATTTTTTGAATCTAGAAATAGCTATATGATCAATAATAATAATTGGTTCTAAATTAAATTATTTTAACAATTTCTAATTCTTCTTCTATATCTATATTTATTACTCCTTCTTGTATTCTTAAACTTGATAAAATACTTGTTTTATCATCTTCTTCAACTATTTCTTTGTAACTTTCACTTAAAGATGTTTCAACTATTTTGATAATTTCTTCTTCTTTTGTTAATTCGTTATTATGATTTTATTCATTTTTTATATTTCTCATATAATACTGATATATTTTTGTTATTAATTCTATTGTAGTAATAGATAATTGAGTCCATCTTTTTCCATAAATCCATTCTACAGAAGACTTACAGTCCCTGATGAAAAGAATAGCGGTAGAAGACTGCATCTATTTTAGGTTGCAGTTTTACCACTTTCTGGATTTAGGCATTTGTTTATATGCCCAAATCAGACATTAGAACCTGAATTAAAAGGTAAGTTAAAAAAATAAGGTTTGTTATTTGTTTTTATTTTGATTTCCTTTTTGAAACTATGCCAAACTCTTTAGAAATACAAAGAAATTCTGTTAAGTCACTTTGGGATCAAAAAGTACATAATGCAAAAGAAATTTCTAATTGATTGTGCATTCCTTTACACACATGTGAACGATATATCAGTTTACTAAATAAAACTGGCAAAATTTCTATTGGTCACTCTTCTGGCCATCTAAGAAAATTGGCTTCAAATCAACATCGCCATATTGGAAAAATTCTGCAACATAATCATTTTACTACAACAGGTGAACTTAAAGCAAAATTGAAAGAAAAAGATCCTAACCTTGATGTCAGTAAATGTATAATACATCGTAAGCTCAACAATCTTGGATATATTTCTATTCTTCCAAGAAAGGTTCCTCTCTTGACCCAAAGATGAAGGATTTTTATTTATTTTAGATACGTAATAATTCGCGATACAACTGGAAAAAAGTTGTTTTTTCTGATGAAATAACACTTTAAATGTTTAGAAATACCATATGTGCATGGTTTCATAATACACATCCAATTGCCCCTATGGTAAAGCACCTATTCAAGGTTCATATTTGGACAGCGATTAGTGCTAAAGGAAAAATCAGCATTTATTTGTTTACTAAAAATTTGGATCGTCATTTGTATCAAAAAATCTTGGATGACTATCTGTATAATAACACAGATATATTATACAGATGTAGCTGGGTCTTTCAACAAGATAATAATCTAAAACACACCTCACATGATGTTCAGGAAGACTTTAAAAAACATCTTTTAGGATGAGTTCTTTCTTGGCCTTCATACAGCCTAGACTTAAACTCTATTAAAAATATATAGGCTGTATTAATGGCAAAGGTAGAGAAAAAAATCAAGTATTTAGTAGCAAAAAAAAACATTACCTGCGATGTATTCCTTAATACAATCTGGTAGAAATAGGACAATCTTGATGACGCTATGTTACTTCAGTATATCGAGAGCATGCTAAGCTGGGTTAAAGCATGTATTAATGCTGAAAGAGAACACATCAAATATTAATTAATAATATAAAAGTTGTCATTAGTATTGTTCTTATAAATAATAAAAAAAAATATA